CGAAGACGGAAACCGCTGACTAACAAGGAAAGCATCGGAAGTGTCCTCTCCGATTTTAATCCGAGCTTCGAGTATATTAAAATATGGACAAAAATAAGAGACACATATTTTTTTTATCTGCGTTATTCTCGAACGTTAAGGGGGTGAAACCATCCCTTGAAAAAAATCGGTTTTTTTTCTTCCTGAGTAAATATCGTCCAAAGCGTTAAAGATATCAAGAAAAGTTTTAACAAAAGTTTTGCGGCTGCAAATGTACTTTACAACGACTTATTAGAATTTTTAAAAATGTTATATTTTTGAGCCTCCCCACCCTCTCTCCCTAATTTCAAAAAATTTTTAAATTTTTATAAGGACATGAATTCAAGAGCATTTTATGCTGAATACAATGGTATATAATAAAGTTATTTTCCGAAATCGCATTTTTGGGAAATGAGCGAGAAATATTTCTATATACGCGCTCCATATGTATTCATCTCATATCGCGTTGAATGCGCGGGACAAAGATGAATATGATGCAGTTCGATACTACAATAATTAACAATAATTATTGAAATAAGAGTTTTTTAATACTTTTTTAATACTTGTTTTATACTTTTCAAATACTTTTTGTTATAGTAATAATAATCATCAGAGCAAAATTGTATCAGACAGACATAAAAACTTATGCGTCTGGCAATTAACTCTTAATTTTACTCTTATAATTATTATATTTTTCACATTTTTATAATCTTTTATCTATTTGCGCTTGAATCTAAATGTGTGTTCTATAATTTCACCGAACCAGTTTTTATGCACTTACAATTTCCCTTCGTTTTTTATCGTTTTTGTTAAGAAAAATTGCTGAAGAAGGCCCCGTGAAGCCGAAACATACAATATCAAATTTATATTGAAGATGACACTGTTAATTATTGTTTTTACAATAAATATTGTTTACCCGAATTTGTTTTTGTCACGTCATTTCATTTTCGCTCGCAAGGAGTAAGAGGAAGAATCGACAAGGACGCGGAGGAGGAGTACATTATGTTCGCTAAAGCAATGTTACCAACTCGAGAACTGGCGAACTAGCCGACAGTAAAATCCATTTTATGTCTCCCTCGTAAAGCCAGTCAAATGAAACCCGGACTTAGTTTTCATACGTGCACCCACTGGCAGACCCGGTTTCCTGCCCGCCACGGCAGCAGGTTGTAACAGACTTTTTCGAAAGTCTAGACGCATTGGTACCCGAGATTGGTCATCTCGGTCGAATCAATCTTGCTTGTTCTTCGCGACTTGTCTTCGATGACAAGTCATTACGGTTCCGTTTCACTTTTATAATCGTTGTAATCATACATAAAGAAATATTTTAGAAATTTCAAAATTATATGACGGAGAATAAATAAAGAAATTAATAATTAAAATAAACGTACAAGATTAGAGAAACTAACAAATTAATTGGTCATTCACATTGATGGCAAATTTGAACCGTGACGCGTTGTGTATGATTTCGATTGAGATTTTTATTTTATCTGTTACACGAAGTAGTAACTTGTAAACAAAGAGCGACGCAAGACAGACACTAAAAAGCTTGACCAAGCAAAACATCGTCCGGTACTAAAACCTGGTCACGTCGTAAAACACGTCCCGTAGACATACGCCCCGAAAGAGTAGTGGCGATAAAGGCCCACATCTCGGAGAATCGACTTTGAAAGGATCTTTCGTTGGTGCCGCGAACCTCTTCTCAGAATCGTTTTAATCGGCTTCTTTATTTGCCGATACTGCAACCGTGTCTAACAGATTCGTCAATAAAACCTGATCGTGATCTGACTTGAGGAAGATTCCATGAAGACGAGTGCGATACACGTAAAGAGGATTCTCACGGAAAATGCGATATCATACTGTATTACTACGAAACTATAATTGGTTTCGAGGAATCTATACATAATTTAAAGCCTCTTAAGTCTTATCATCAGCAAGTAGTATGCGATCGAAGACGAAGTAAAAATTTATTCCAAAAAAAAGTATACAGAATATTTTAAAAGTGGAGATCAGTCGTGTGCGGGAGAACGCATTTTCGGACGTATGTTCGCATGTCAACTTTCTTTCTTGTTTTTGAGTCCTCATTCATCTCTCCCGAGTGATTGATCTCGACTCACTGAACACCCTGTATATTCGAAAAATACACGACAAAGAGAGCATCATAAAGGAAAACAGAGTTCATTGATACGCGCGCGATGATTATACGTAGTTACCCATCGACGTTACACCTATTTAACCGGTTGACGACGCTCGAAATATTATTTCCAGTCGTAAAGCGGATCCTTTTAACGATCGACAGTTACTTTGAAGCCGTTTTAGGAGCGAGACCGGGCGTTACGCTCGTTCCCCGGTCGTGTTGCACAATACGCAGATTTCTTCCCGTCTCGCTTTGGCTCGACGACTTGCATGTCGATACACGATTTCACTATCCTATTTTCACGAGACTCTAACCGTTCGCACCGGAGTATTTTTTTTTTATGAGCGACAGATTTGTCGAAGTGCCAACCACTTTGTTAAGTACGCGTAATCTGTAATGGCGCATTACGACGAGTACAAGATCTACTCGCGTTAAGTGGATGCGAACTTTCAAGGAATGTTCGACGATCGATTGCAAATTGTAATGGCACGAGAGCCAATATTTCACTTCGATCGACGTGAATTTGTCGTGGTTATATCACGTATGGTATATCTGTAAGTCCGCCCATTATTCCCATTTTCTTTATACAGTTCTTCAGACAGACACGGTCTGTGCTATGCATTATAAATAAATATGACATTTTGCATCCATTTTAATTTTTCTGCGCGTTTACTAATGTATTATTACGAGTATTCTTAGAAAAACTATAATCGTTTTATTATGCATCGTCATTTTTTAATGAGGAAGAAATATGAATAAGTGTAGCTTGCGCAATTGCACATATAATTCTAGAAATTGTTTAACATATACTTAACATATTGTAGAAAATGTTATAACATTCTATATGTTACAAATTATATATTGAATTCTATTAAAAAGTAGAAATATATAAAATAAGCAATTTTTTATATATAAAAATAATAATGATAATAATAATATAATAGTAATAAAGGCGTGTATTGGAAGAAAAAGAGATAAAGGAAAGACATATCGATTCACAATTTGTGTTTGCATTCTTTCTAAAAGGCCCTCTCTTCTTGATTGACCATGGAGTGCCTCGTAAAAATATGATTTATAGCTATGCCGCCTCATAATCTCCTTAGTCACATTACTTATGTCTCGATGATTCGCGTATCTGCATTACTCTCATCAGCAAGTTTCACAATCGATTATTTCGGCGAGTCTTATTGAAAACTAATCGGAACTTAGATAGTAGACTAACTAATCGATTAGATAGTCTGTGAATATTTCTCTGAACGGGTAACATGATGACGTCGTAAAGACGACGACAAAGATACTTAATCTGTCAACAGACTTTGAATTCAAACAGAAAGAAAATTTTGAAGTTATTCTGTGTTCGTTAATCTCGATATCTGTTCTGATTATTAAATTATATTGATTAAATATTATTTGCTAAGATAGGGTTTTATCATGCTTTTGGTTTCTGGTTCCCAATGTGAACTCAATGCTAAATTAATTATTAAAATAAAGTTCTGTTTCTGTGATGTAAATTAAATTCGCTCGAGTATTTTGTTCTTTGTGGAAACAACTTATTGGATGGACTAATTAGGCCTTTCTTTAAACTTCAATTTGGCAAAGAGAAATCAGTATCTGTAGACGTACAATTTACATCTTTGAGGAAAACTTTTGTCGATAAAGGGTTTCTTCCGGCAGATAATCTAGGCAGATCCAAGACGAAACAGTGACTGCTCGAGCAGTCGTAAACGAAGTCTAAGGAGGAGACACATCCAGGCATATAACTAAAATGGAAACGGCCGCGGTGGGTTGCGGACGAGGTGGGTGGAGGTTTATCGTCTGCTAGTAAGTGCTTCGCGGATTCTCACACCTTCATCCGCGCGCTACCACCCTTGACGAGGAAGGAGAGACCATAAAATCACTGTGGAAGCTCGAAATAATATCTATTCACTCTACTTTTAACATTAGACTTAAGGTGTATCATCTTAAATATTAACGAATGAATCATTGTTTTTTCGCATTTCTGTCGGATCTTTATTTCACTAATATTTTTTTTAAATTGCAATTTTTTTTAACAAAATGTTTAATCATATTTCGTCTTCAAGAGACCTTTACGAGCAAAGTTCAAAGTCAAATTTGTCACAGCATTTAATCCGCTATTTGAGATAACAAAGTTTTGTTTAAAGTATATTATACGTAACGACGTGCTAATTTATTAATTTACATCGTCATTATCAGAAAAATTGACTCATACAATTGTCTGTTTCAAAATAAAGAGGTTTCCATGTCTGCCAAGTGAGTTCAATGATTTCACCAAAAAGCTAAAAGTGACTCCTTTCTTCGCAAATATATGGATGCTGTTTATCGCGCAAAGAATTTGTTTATCGATCGCAGATCGGTAAGAGGCGCAGCCGCATTCATTAACGAGACGTGTATCCCGGGTGGACCTCGGTGGCTTCGCTCGCCAGAGTTAGGTAGGCAAGTACGTCGTATTTCATAGAAGCTTGGCTGTATTTTCGCGCGTATGACTTTAACTGTCGATGCGGACTTTGCTTGTATTTCTTCTCAAGTTTTACTGGCGCTAGGTCGACCGCTCCGAGCCGTAAACGTCAGTCTCCGCTAAAGCCCTGTATGCCGGGTTGCCAGGGTTTCTTCCTCAACCTTCCCGCTTAGCCATCGCCTTCTTCTTCTCCTTCTTCTTCTTCTTCTTCTTCTTCTTCTTCGTCTTCTTCTTCTTCTTCTTTTCATTTTCTTCAACTCCTTTCGCCTTCGAGCAGCCGACCTCTTCGGCGAGCATCATGTCCGACGATTCCTTAGCTGTTGGCGTGATCGCTGAAGGACGTCACTTTTGACAAGTACACCGACGAGAAGCTTACGAGAAAAACCTACACAAATAGGCAATGATCGCTCCCCTCGTACGCTTCAAGAAATAAAATTCTGTCGTATATTATACGATGCGAATTATATATTCTTTCAGTCATCTATCGTCTTCTATCTTTCTACGACGCGTCAAATTCCGTGTATTGATTCCGTCTCGATCAGCTCGCTCGGGAATAACAATGGTATCGAGATTGGTTAATTTTATCCTTTGACGAAAAGAAATTTTTCGCAGTAAAAGCGTATAACCGGTCATTAGCCACAACCGATTATGCAGAAGGCGTACTAAAATTTGTCTCTCTCTCTCTTTTACGCGCGTGCGACGACCACTACAGTTCTGGAAATAGGTGAGAACTCCCCTTTTCGCGAAAGTCCTAGCCGGGCGACCAGGCGAGAAGGTTTTAGGGTCGACCGGAAGACGTCGGTACCCGTATCGTCTCGGGGCTTCATTAAGGATGCAATATGGCGGGCTTTTTGCCGAGCGAGCGAAGGGAACGGAGCGTGCGGAGTGCCCAGTCGGTCGCTTTTAAAAAAGTTACGACGAGGTTTATGGAGGTTTAATTGTAGCCCGCGACTGTGGTTAGAAAGTAGTAAAACTCCTTTTGCCAGCGATGCCGGGTCTGTTACACCGCTTAACGCTCCCCGGTTCTTGGTTACGTACGAAAAGGACGATGATGAGGAAGAGAAGCGGCGTTCGCAGCGGCTTACGAACTTTGGTGCTGCTAATTATTGCTTTGTGCTCTCAGGAATTGCACCTCCGTCCTCAGGAAAGAAGGCCGACAGTCGTCCCGTCGAGGTCAGAGATATCCTTTCGATATTATAATACTTTCGCTAATTCGATCGTTGGCTTTCGCTATTTATAATTTCGAAGATATCATGATATCGATACAAATGCATCATTAATGAGATGACTGTGCGTGTCAATGCATAATAATTACGTTGCCCATAATGACATTACAGCTGGTGCAATGTGGATACCACGATATGCGGGCTGCAGCGAATAAATAAAATTATGTTACATTATTTTTTAAAAATATTTTAACATTTGAAGAAACTATATATAACATTTATAAAACAACATTTCTTAATCAAAATAATTACAAATTACTTTATTAAAGAAATATATTTGTGTATTACTAATGTCGTATCAATTTGAAATAATAAAACTTGACCAGAATTTTATTATTTAGTTTCTATAAAAATTTTATGATAACGGAAGAAAATAATAAATCTTGAAAAAAATATTCATTTTCAAGGGACTCTGTTATAAAGATATAATTCTCTTTCATAACATTTGACATACATACGATGTTTTACATACGATGTTTACTAGGCATGCGAAAGAAAATTATGATGGCTACATTACGTGTACAATTCACGTAACACATTTACTCGCTTACTTATTCTGTATTATATTTTATATAATCTCGATGGATTGTCATATCCGTGAACGAAAATTATTACCGACGTGACTTATTAAGGTGCGCATATTCTTAACCTTCGGAATCGCGAATAGTGCAATATACGTTCCAAAATTATAGCTCATAGTGGATGCTTATATTCGTGGCGACATGCCTTGCAGACCATGACACAGCGTCGTTTCCTCTTAACGTGTTTCCAGTAGATTTTCTGTCCTCACAACCATAAAAGTCCCGTTTACGGAGATTTAAATAATGAATGATGATTTGAGTTTTTAATAAACTTTACATAATAAAAAATTAATATTACACTTATTTAATATTTATTATTAATTTAAAAATTAAATTAATATTATTAAATTAATATTACGTATCCTTTTATTGTTACGATTAACGATCAGGATACAAATCATAATTTTTATCAGATTTCGATCAAATCATTTTAGTGAAAGGAACGACAAATTTAATAAAGTTAATCTTGTATGTGTGTGTGTGTGTGTGTGTGTGTGTGTGTGTGTGTGTGTGTGTGTGTGTGTGTGTGTGTGTGTGTGTTGTTATATACATAAATTTATCAATTTATTTATCATACAAGTTATTTAAAGAAACAAACATTCCTTGAAGGAATCATACGAAATATCTCGATAAAATATAACTTGTATAAAAATTATGAAAAATTAAGAATTTAAAAGATTAATGATACCAGTAATGAGTCTATGATTATGCAACAATTATCAGTAGTATATGCGATACGATCAATCAGACTTAAAGTCCGGTCAGTTCTAACCGTTCAAAAGTAATACTGCAATTTCATTAATTACTTGCCCGCAATTATCGTTAATTACTTGCCGAAGATAGATTCGCGAGTTCTAGTTAGATCATCGACATTCCATGAGGCACGAGACTACTTCGATTTCGTTCTAGTGTCTGTCACATAAACTCTGATAGTTTACTGCGCCCGGAGCAAAATAAGCGGGAGACCGGGGTGCACCTCACTTACGGCTTTGCGACGATGGCGAACGTAGAAGTGGCTTTAAGGAGAACAAGAAGGCAACGACGACGATGACGAGGTAGAAGGAGGTGTACACTGTAGAAGAAAGAAAAAAGAAAAAAATACCCACTAAGCTGTAAAGCGAGCCGCGTTTACGACCGTCGTTAAGGCCACTCCGAGCGACCTGTCTGATTACATTGATGCTGCTTATTGCAAAAGCGGGACTAATTCCTCCGACGATTCGCTGAACCCTTATTGCAACTATTAGGAACGATCACGAATTCTCGCTCTGTCGCATACGCGACATTAAATCGGCGACGATCGATTTTTCTCTGCCGACAAGCCGGGAGAGGAATATTAATGTATATAATTACTCTAATGAGTCGGTCGCACGCAACGGTCGCCACGTATATTTCGCCGAATCGATTTACGATATAATAATATAGAAAAATAATATAGAAAAAAAAAACATCAAGAGAGATTGCATTATGTTTCATATTCATATACCGCGTAAATGTGTTTCCCTCGAGTAAAAAATATGCAAGAAGAAATATCGAGATACGACATTGTGTCCGTTGTATCGTGTAATTTGTGTTGCAAAAAATTCCAAAAACATATGGCGACGAACAAAATTCGCCATTCGTAAGAAATTCGTTTTCGTAATGAAAAAACAAGAATATATATATTTTTCATTGAA